TCAGGGGGCAATCGGTGAGCTAAACTGAACTATTCATTTGCAAAAGATCGGGTTGGTAGGGGAAGAGCATGGATGAGGGCAAATTAAACCAGGCCTATTTTCTTTGGCTCTTTTTAAAATTCTTTAGCTAAGACTCCAAATAATAGCATCAGCCACTGATCTAAAATGTTGTTTGCTTGTCCTGGCCCACCAGACTGCTTCTTGAGTGCTTTGGGCTTTAGAATAAGGAAATGGAGAAGAGATAAAAGTCTACTTAAAATTAGAAGTAGATCTTCAAGGTGGCATAACCTCAAGAGTTCATGTGGCTGGGAGATGAAGACTTGGATAGAGAGGGGTCCTACTCGAGAGATGAGGCCAGGCAGGTTAACCGTCTGGCCTAATGTGACTTATATAGATGAAAGAAGAGGTTTGGCTTCTGGCTCTAACATAAGGTATTTATCCTTCATAAGGATAAATTTTTCCTAGAAGCTAATGGCTCCACCTACAAACTTACACCACTAGAAAATGAAAGGATCACTCTTACCTCTCTGATTCTCTACAGTGCAAAGTCTACCTTACCTTGGAAAGTGAAAATAACTATTAAGATACCCCCAGTACCAGGCATCAATGGCAATGGTGGTCAGCACACCCTAGTCTGATGCAGCAACATCCTAGGATAAGAATTTTGGCATAGCTAAATCATGGATAGTTAAGAAGATGAGCTCTGGAGTTGGACTGTCTGGGTTCAAATCCCATGTTCACCACTTGAAAACTGAACAACTTATTTAACTTCCCTAAGCCTCGATTTCCTCATCAGTAAAATGAGAACAACACTGAGGTAGGGCAGGACATGGAGCGAGGGTCATGCTGTCGTAAAAACGTACTTAGCCTGCGAAAAAGGCCCAGCTTATTCTTTAACTTAATCTATGTGCTGTTTTTCCTCTTCTTCCAGCCCCTTAATCAATTAAGTAACTTTGTAACCAGAGCAAGTGATAGACCTCTGAAGTGTAAATGAACCTGATATGGATAAAGAATATCAAGATCTGGGTCAACAGTCACCTAAATAACCCTATTCTTAAGACAAAACTTCAAAAGAATTATGAATCACCTGTATACATCATGCCTTATGCTGACCCCTACCCAAAAGGCCCTTTAAAGCCCTGAACCCTAAACCCTTAAATGGGCCTCCTCTCTGAGGTTGTCCACATTCCCATCTTAGTCTATAGTGTCTTATCATATAGACTTTATTGTTGCGTAAGTCAATTGCACTTGTCTCTGAACTCTTTTCCACGATAGAGACAAGAACTCTCCAACCTCCACCTCTGGTGGTAAATGTCTTTGTCACTTAGCTATTTCATTCAGTTTTCTGGTCTTAACATAATCCTTTACTCTCTCTGTTTCATTTCAGACCAATAGGGAAGTGGAAATTCTCAGAACATAAACTCACTCCATCCAGTGCTCCACAGCTCCCCTAAATCCTGGGCAGTAGTCGCTTAGTCCCCATGCTCTGCAGATTCAAGTGGACACTGGATGCCAGGTGACCCTGGCTTTAGGAGTTGTCAAGGGATTTGCCCTACTCTGAGCTTCCCTTTCCTGCCTCTGTTCTTCCTCGTTTTCTACAACCTGCAGGCTGCTGCCATTCACTACTCTTGCTTTAATGAATTCCTTCCTTACCAAATTTGTCTGACCTGGTAGAGAATTCTTTCTCAATCAGAGTCAAGAATCCTCCCATCTGGGTTGAGGTTTCACCTACTGCACAGGGAGAGACCTCCCCAGACATAGCTGTCTGACAACAATATAGTATAGAGATGTCACAAGGCTCTCATGAGAACCATACCAAATGCTTAGTGTAGTATCTTGCACAAACTATGTGCTCAGTGGGTATTAGCTAACATTAGTCATACTCTGTATTTTTCTATAGCCTTGTCATACATATCTTCTCTTAAATATTCAAAGTATCAAGTTCTGATACTATCTAATGGGAGCCTGGAGAAATGGCCCAAAATTGGTTCATATTTTTTGTCCACCCCAAAATAAAAGGCACTTACACAATTTTATTTTATTAAAAACAACAACCACAGTTATTACTATTTATTGCAAATACTACTACTACTGCACTACCTCAGTTACTATGCACTTCCTTTTTTCTCTCCTCGTTCTGTCCTTCTTCCCTTTCTCAATATTCCATTTGTCTTCTCATTAACTTGGGCTTTTATTTCCTTTGGAAAAGCATACATTGTAGTTCAAGTTCCATCTTTAGCACAATCTGTGTGATGGCAGGCAAGGTTCTTAACCTCTCTGACACTGTTTCCTCACACATATCTAACACAGGGCTATCGTGAGGATCATATGAAATAACACCCATAAAGTGCCTACATATGATAAACCCTGAATGAATTTAAGCTATTTTCCAACTTCTCCTCATTATACAAGGGATTTTTGAATTTGAAGCAGTATCAAATTCTCTCCCTCCACTAAAAGGGAGAAAAAAATAGTATCTGTCAATTAGCCCATAGGAAAATCTAAATACATAAATTGTTTAGAATATTTACAAAAAGTTCACCTCTGCAAGGCTCATTTTTCTGAATGTCAGGATTATCAAGCTGATCACAGCCAAATTAAAGCCCTCTCTCCAGACATCTAGCTGCTAATACTGCAAGGGATTTATTTATTTTAAAAGAGTAACTGCTTAAACATTTGGGGAAACTAAGTGGTAGGTTTCCACTGGGAAGAGGTCATAGTTGGTTTGTGGCATAGCCACAAAAGAGAGGAGCTTGGGAGGAGGAGGTTGGCAAAGGAGGGGCATGCAGCCCGTACCCTCACATCCTGGGTGGACCCACCCAGATCCACCGTGAGGGGCTTCTGGTCCTTGTGAGGCAATGGCAGTGGAGGGGTCAAGGAGGGAGGAGGGCAAAGGTATATGGCCTTGGTTGGATTTCATTTTCATGACTTGTGTAGATTTTACTATATGGAAACAGATCCTTTAAAGCAATTTGGACAAGTCTAAGTTAGAATTTAACCTCCCTTACCTGTTCCCAAAAGAGGGCAAGAACGTGAGGGAACTGAGAGAAAATAGGGGGACCTTGACCAAGGAGAAGGTGGAGGCGCAAATTAATGGCTTCCTGATTGTCAAAGCCCTTATTCCACATCAAGGGAGGTACACTTGGATTAAGAGAGGCACATCATTTTAAAGGAAGCTTCAGACTGACCCACCTTGATCTCAGGGTCAGGGGGTCTTGCTGCCAATTCTGAGTCTCACTTCTCAGGCCTCATTTTGACAACAATAATATGGAGCAAGAAGTTCATGTTATATTTATTTTTCCCCTTCTTTCAACTTCCATGATAAGCAATAGAACAAGGGATAGAAAGGGATGAAGATACAGCCCACAGGACCTGGGAGCAGTTGTCCTCGTGAGGACTGCTGTCTCCAACAGGGATGAAGACGCCATACTGGCAGAAAATTATGCGATGTATAGGATGCTTCTAATTTTATAACCCAGCCATTCCAACAAAGAATAGGCACAGTCCTCAGGTGAGTTCAGTCCAACTTTCATGCCTGGAATGTTCCAACTTAGACGACAATTAGTTTAGTGAACGGAGAAGCACCATTTCTGATTTAGTTTTATGAAGCTTTAATTCTCTAGCCAAACACATACCACTTGTTGGCTGCTTGGGAAATAGAGAGACAGTGTTAGCACAGGCTGGCAAAGGGTTGCCTGAGTAGGTGATTGGCAGTGGGAAATGTGCACAGAAGGCTTAAAAAGGACAGTCTCCACTTTGGAAAGATAAACATACTCAACTATCACAGTTTTAACTCTCTGCATATCTCAATGGCCCCTCTATAGAGAAAAACACAACATATCTAGATGGGCTCAACAATGGTGTCATTGGAGGACAATTAGAAATAGAAAAAGAAAACTGAGCTCTAGATCCAGTTCTGCTGCTAACTTCTTTGTGTGGCCATCTACATATCGCTTACACTCCATGGGCTCTGGGTGGCTGCTTTTGGGTTATGTAAATAGACATCTCTAAACCTCAGTATCCTTACCAAGAAGATGCATGCCAAGAGTAGTTACCTTGTAGTGTAGAGGGAAAATTGGGATGATCTATGTCAAGAGCTCAGCATGGTACCTAGCATACAGTCTCAATAAAGTTTAGCAATTCATATGGCTACTTGTAAAGTGAGTGGGATGAACAAGCTCAACGGTACTCTGTAGCCCAAATATTGTTCTTATTCCAGACATTGCAGACTTTGGGGAGGTGACAGAAAAGGGGCTCGGGGCACACTGGCTACAAAATTGAAGCTCAGAATTTAGAAAACAATGGCAAGTTTGCCATGGCTTCTACACAATGGTGAAGTTTTTGCTTGGTGGTTTTGAGTTAACATTGATTATTGCCAGACAAGTTAATTGGCAATTTAAAATAATGACCACAGTGCTTGGAAAGCCCTGAATAAATAGAACATAGTCATTTTCATATGGCTGCAGTCACACATGGAGATGCCTGAGAGCTATAAATTCCTAGGGCTGGAAGAAGCCCTGGGTTCCTTAAGTTCCTCTGGAAAACCACTCATCTCTGATGAAGAGCCATTGAGTAAATCAAGACCTACCTACACCTGGATTATTACTGTCACATGAATGGTGTTCCCTGAAGACCCCACAATAGACTCCATGTTCACAGATCCCTACTTTGTTAAAATTCGGAAAAGGCTTCTCCTATAATTTTGTGACTTTGCATCTCTTTTCTGTAAGACCTCCACACCATGGCTAGCCCAAGAGAGTAAAGGACAAAACAGAAGTTCTCCCTGTGCCTTTGGGCCAGAGGATGGAAGTCATTCCAGTAGAAAGTGATGTCTCCTGGTACACCCAACCCATCTTTTCTAGTTTCTCAAAGTTCTGTAGGCTGGAGCTGGCCTACCCAGAGTGGCACCACTAAATTCTACACACTCTATTAGAAATTCAAGTGTAGACAGTCCTCAACTACACCAAGCCATTAGATATTAATGTTCAGACAACACCTACCTCACTCCAGACCAGCATGGTACCGAATATGACCTGTAACCCATCAAAGAAATTGTCCCCTATGATGATCACAGTCGCGCCTCCCGTCGTCCATCCTTCACTCGGGCTGATGGCTTTGATACAGGGAGTAGCTGCTTTTCAACACACATGAAAAAGAGAAGGAGTCTGCTGTTAGAACCAAACTTTAATGATGGGAGGCTTGAGAAAAAGAAAAAAAATCTTTCATCTTTTCACTAACAGAAAGTCCCTCAAGATCTCAACATTTCCTAGCCGCATTAGAACCTGAAACCTAAGGGTGCAATTTCAGTTTTTAAAAGTGTTTTTTTCATTGTTTCTATTGAGATACATATATTTTACCCAACTGATTTTCAAACTTGAGATCTCAAGAAAAAAAAGAGGCAAAATTTAATTTACAAAATACTAAAGATTTTTTTTAAAAGGTGACTTTCAGAACACAATGGAAGCCTCATAGAACTGCTTCAAAATTAAATGTATCTCTTAAAAAGAAAACCCACAGATATTTTAGATAAACATTTACATTCAATAGGAAGCAAGAAAGAGAGGAGGACAGAGCAGGCAATGATTCTCACTCCATGCCTTCATTCTTTATTGAAACTCATTAAGATTATTTTTAACAAATATCATGGATCCTATTTTATAGATGCAAAGTACACAGGTCACTCAACGTAAATTATGTAACCAAGTAGCTGAGTCAGGGCTGAACCACAGAGAGTTCCACAACCTTTGCTTCATTATCATTCCCAGGCATAAAAATCTAGAATGGACTTCTTCAAAATTTCATATATCTTCTCTTTCCATTATAAATGACCCTTGGAGATGGGAAATAATTTGCAAATACCATGATTCCAAAGAGACTAGAGGTGGTTTGCCAGATGAGCATGGCATACTTTCAACAAAATTGCTGGGCATAAATGTAATTGTAGCAGTATATCTTTGGAATTTCTGAGGGCACCTTCGTGCCACCAAGGATTCTGAACTCCACAACACCATACTGCTGTTCTCATGATTATTTTTATGAACAGGAACAAGGCAAAATTCTAAAGCAAGGGTGGTATTGTATGAGGAAAGGAAAAGAGACCCTCATCTATAATAAAAGTTCAGTAAGTATCCAAGACTGACTTTCCAAGTATTGAAGCCAATGAGAGCACCAGTTAATGTTAACAGGAAAAAAACTAGAAAAAAATTATTGGACTATGTCAAATTTGGCAAAATGTCATGGTTCAACTTTTGCAAGAAGAAAAAAAAATATTAAACCCAATCCAGTGGGACCATTGTTCACGTGCCACCATACACGCAAATAGAATGGGTTTGATTATGGTTCAAATTAATCTTATAAAATTTCACAGAAAAATTAAGAAATATCCAAACTAAACATTTCGTGTTGGCTGAACTCATAGTAATGCATTTACAACTAAAACTGGGCAGTTCAGATGCCTTTTCTCTTCTCCACTTTCTCCCAAAAACAAAATAATTAATCAAGAAAATGTAAATGATTCATGACTTGAAAATCCTTGTCCAATTTTTAACATACATCAAGGTTGTGATTAATGCTCCACAGGCATAGGACTTCTTAAACAAAATAGTTCTTTGAAAGTAAAAATGTTTAAATGCATGATTGACTACTTCTAAACCAATGTTACAATATAGTATCATTTCAATTTATAAGATAAATAACTGCATTTAACAACTATGTAAAATTCTTAAAATAAGAGCAGTTTGGAAACACTCTAATTAATGTCTCAAAATCTTAATTCTTAATATTTAACTCAGTATACTTAGTGGCTAGAGTGGAATAGAAAAGTGTTGCTATATCCCTGGATACTTCTGGAAAGGACAGGATATTGGTTTAACTGAACCTGGTATGGAAAGAGTCTTATCTCATGGCAAAGTATGGAATCCAGTGGTATCATTAAATGTTAACCCTGTGATTATCCTCATAAACCACTAGATAGTCTTGGTTTTATTATCATCTGCATTAGCTTTGGGATTTAATTTATTTTTTATTTTTTATTTTTAAATCACTCAAGCATATTTCTTCTGATGAGTATGGGCTCCTCCAGGCTTTCTCATCGTTGCACTGAAGGGGGAAGGGTGTGTATCTTTGACAGGCTCTCCTACAGTAAAGATGTTATAATAGCAGGAAGAACTGCTGGTTTTGGATTTGAGCCCCACCATCACCCCACTTCTCTCCATGTGTTATTTGTAGGTGTGTGTCTGTGTGTGTTCACTTTCAAACACTTCTAAAGGAATGTTTTCAAATTATGTAAACAACCAGCCAGAAACAAAGAAACATGCCAACTAATCAGAGGAAAGAGCATCAAGCTTCCAGAGATTACTTGGTGAGGAGACAATATAGGACACCACCTCTTAATTTTGAAGGGGAAAAAAAGTCTTGAAGGAAGTACTCCAGGAAAAAAGAGACACAGCCCTTGATCCAATCTACTTCTGTATTCTCACCACCCATTGTCCTGGCTCAGAAACTAGAGGTCATTCTCGTCTAAACAAGTAAGTCATGCAGCCTTTTCTGAGTTTAGACCTCAAAGGGTCCTAAAGGTGCTCCTACACATTTGTGCATCATAGCAGCCTTGAGAGGAGGCTCTGTGGTACTGCCCCACCGCAAAGCTTGGAACATATGTTAACGGAATCCTGGGCTGTCCCACTGAGAGAGAGGGCTGGGGATGGGAAGTTCGTTCCCTGTGCTGGTCCCTGCAAATCAAGGATGCTAAGTATCCAGCAATGCATGGGGTGGTTCCCAAAATGAAGAACTCTAAAACGCCAATAGTGCAAGGTAGAAAACATTTCAACTAGCTAAACAGTTCAGGCCCAGCGGCAACTGTTTAGAACACACAGATCTGTACAGGCCAGGAAAAGAAACGCAAATGAATGCAGCAGCTCAGGATTTCAGAACAAGCATGAAATGAACGCTGCTGACACTCAGAACTGGGGGAGCTGCAGCCCTTGGCAGCCACATGTAAATGTGAGCCCATGGTGGTCTGGTCTTCCCATCTTTCTAAAGAAGCTGGGAGCCAAAACTTTAATGTGAAATTTTCCAGCCTTCAGGTGCTGACAACTAATTTTTTTTTTAATGTGTAGGATAAACAAAATGTTTGTAGGCTAAATTTAACTTGTAGGCCACCATTTTCCTTTTACTTTAGTCACAAACAAACTTGCCAGATTAAAAACAGCTCAGGAAATACTTGCAAATGTGCCTAAATCTACAGGTACCCAAATGTTCACTGCAATATTGAGAGTAAAACAATTCCAGAGTCCAGGTGCCCTCGGTCAAAGAGAGGTTAAACAAATTAGGGTATATGTCTATCCATACTGTAGACTTTTAAGAGTGTCATTAGAATGGGTGGAAAAAGTTTCTATAAACTGACATGGAAGAATGTCAAAATTAGTAAGCAAAAAAGTCAATTTGTAGTCTAATGAATAGTGTGATCCTGTTAATTTAAAAAATTATATATATGAGCCTGTGTGTGTAGGTGTGTGTGTGTGTGTGCATGTGTGTGTGTGTGGTTATGTGTGAACAGGCATAATAGAAAAAAGTCTGGAAGAATGTATACAACTGTTCCCAATGGGGCCATATGAAAAAGAAATATGGCAAGAGTAACAGAGAAAGGAGACTATTCAATTTTACTCTATAGTTGACTGTGTGGTTCAAAATGTTCAATGTATATTAAGGTAATACATCACCATAATAAAAAAATTTAAATAACAGCAGAGCATTTAATTCTGAGAAAGAATAAAACTTGTGCTTTTTAGAGCAAATCGATACTAATTAAGAAAAAAACCCAGCTTTGCTAACAAACCCTGAGCTTCTCCTTTCCTCTTCCTTCTGGGTAAGTTTTTTCTGAGAAAGCTCAGAGAACATCTGAAGGCAGCCAAGGACTTGTTTTTCTTTCATGCAGGACAGCCAGAGAGATGCAGAGGGAAGACAAGGAGAGAGGTTTTGATAGTCACAGCGTAGGTTGAGTGTGAAGTGGAATCTGAAGGTGAAAAGATTTATGAAAGAGTTCAAGCCAGCCCAGGAATGTAATAATCAATACAATTTTCTATCTCCAAGAAAAATTTTATGGAATGGGGGAGATGGGTGGATTTGAATACAAAACTACTTTGACCAGCCAACTCTTGATTTAATTAATAGATTCCTTCTTCCTTGCCAATGAATTTTCACGCTCAAGATATCCACAAAGACAGTAAGCCAATTCTTGGTTCTAAATCTCATTGAAAATAAAAATGGGGGTTTTGTAGGGCTTTTTTTTTTTTCCTTTTGTTTTACCTCCTCCCCCACCCCAACAGTCACCAAAGTAGAGGAGATTTTCTTTCCTTCAAACTATGACAATAACATGATTACCCCACCACAGTTTAGCATAATGGCTCTGAAATGCTCATGGCACATTGCAGAGTTAAAGTGGAAATTATTAGGTAGCTCTTCTTTGTTATAATAATGATCACTCCACAAATAAAAGCTCTTCTCCCAAAGGTACTGCAAGGCACAAAATGCTAATTCTGAAGATTATGTGTGCGCTTTTATTAAATATTACTATGCCCTGCCTGTTTGAGGGCTTCTCTGCTCTGATTGTTTTATGAGTACCATGTTAATGTCATTCCCATCTTGCTAGCAGCAGGCACACATTTTAGCGTTTGTATGAGAGTTGATCAAAGGCCACGTGCTGGGGGAATTGCTGAGAAAACACGGACAAGCGATAAAAATCTAACAGATTAATTGGTTTAAATTTCATTTCAGGGTGTTGAACTTTGGCTCGGGACGCTAATACTACACCGTGAGTCAGGGCCTAATTACCAGATTTCCAATTTGCTTCTGAACAATGGTCGTGGTGAGAAGGAAAAGAGAGGGAAGAATGAGAAGAAAAAAAGAAAAGAAAGAAATCATACAGCCTCCAGTACATATTTAACGACTAATGCTCTGTGTGCAGACAATTGCACCAGGGGACATTTCCTATCACCTGCTCTACCTCCAGACTGTTTATATGTCCTTCCAATAGCCATGTAAGGCGGAAGAAATCACAGGTGCCCTCAGCAATTCAAAATTCTGATTTACAGAATCAATGTTGCAAGATTCAAATGCCTGCTCACTTGCACTAGAAGC